GATGAAAGGTGATAATGCAATTATTTTTATGTTAAACCACAACTGTTAGGATGCAAATAACTACAAGAAGAAAAGAGTGAGAACTAAACACATGCCTATCTGGAAAAGAACATGTCTAATTTTAGAAAAGCTATTTTCTATTTTGCTTAGATAACTTGGTTAGAATGGGGAAGCATTATTATCTTTTCAAAATCTTCTCTATTGATAACAACATCTGGAGATTAGGATTTTTAATGAGATTCAACAATGTGGCTGTTTTTATAATTGTTCTAAATGAGCCAAAGGTAAATGAAAATTTGGGGGGGTAGAAAAGAAACCCAGAAATTCTGAAATTTGTTTTTGGGTATTCTATATACTTAGCAACTCCATACTGTTAATGCTCCCTCAGTGAGACTTTACTATCATCTCTCTTGTCCCACTCCCACCTCCCTGTAAAATACTAATGGTCATATTTGATATTTTTTGAAGGGTTATAAAATACTTATTAAGTAAAAAATTCAAAAATAGCTATCACCAAGCTATTTGACCATCAAATATGAGTGGTACAATTTGTTTTAATATTGTAAATGAAGTATACTGTGTGCAAACAAGGCAGAGTGGGAAAACTAAGAGCACCATGAAGACAGACAGACATTCCTTACCAGAGAAGGCAACTAGAATCGACATAGTCAGATACCACCTCACTTTACGGAAAATTGACAACAGAAATGAGCATGCTACCCAGCAGCTCCAATCTAATGTTTGGACCTTTGTCTGTTGTTTCATTTATTACATCATGTACTTCCTTGAATTCCATGTCCTGGGCTGAAATCTGGGCTATACCATTAACTAGCTATGTGGCCTCAGGCAAAAATCTTACCTGTCCATATTTCAGTTTCCTACCTGTAAAGTAAAGATAATTCCTTATTAAATACCCAGTTACTTGTAGCTGTTTTCTTTTTTTTTTTTAATTTTTATTGTTGGTTGTTCAAAACATTACATAGTTCTTGATATATCATATTTCACACTTTGATTCAAGTGGGTTATGAACTCCCATTTTTACCCCGTATACAGATTGCAGAATCACATCAGTTACACATCCATTGTAGCTGTTTTCATATATGTATTCTCTAAGTAAATCTATCATGAGGAAAAAGTCTAATAAACCGACAAATCTTGAATGAGCTTATCCTACTGGCCTTCAAGAAATTCAATAGCTCATCAGAAATCTGTTCAAATGTCCATAAAACTGTCCCAAAGAAGCCCTCCTAGCTCATGATAGTGGAATTTGGTGCAGTTAAAAATGAAGCAGAGGGCTGGGGTTGTGGCTCAGAGGTAGAGTGCTCACCTAGCATGTGTGAGGCACTGGGTTCGATCCTCAGCACCACATAAAAAGAAAATAAAGGTATTGTGTCCACCTACAACTAAAAAATAAATATTAAAAAAATGAAGCAGAAATAACAAAACCTCAAATTTTTTAGTTACTATATCACATATGAATATGTTGATGGATTTTCCTGGTTCTCTTGGGATTTTTAAAAGTTACCATAATGTGCAATGAATTGGTTGTGATATATGTTAAGATTAATTGATTTAATGGTGTCTTTGGGATCACATCAATGAAGAGTTAGTACTTGAGAGCAGTGTGACATCATTTCTGTGGGAAACGCAAATTACTTAAATCATTTTGTCATGAGGTCAGAGTGCAAGAGCAGAAAACAGCCATCAAGGAAGCTGCTGACCCTTTTGAGGTTTGGGTTGAAGAAAGGCCAGGGGAGCAGAAGCACACCAGCCAGGAGGAGGCAGGTTGAACTCCTAGATTCTTGTGGAGACAACGTATATAGTTTGGCAGAGACCAGATCCATTTAAACAAAAGGAATCTGCTGCTCTTAAATCTGAAATAATAACAAAAATAATGGTTCCTCACTGATACACACATGCATTATTATGGCATCATAACCCACATAAAGTGAGGAGGAAATAGCTAAACACACACACACCAAAAAAAAAAAAAAAACAGAAGAGAAATCCAATCTTGTGGTTTTTACTGACCTCTAAAATGTGGGAGGAATTTTTCAGGTGTCACTCAGCATGGAAGTTATTATCTTCCTGCCAAAAGCCAGATGATCTATAGAAACCCTCCTCCTGCCCCAAATAGGAGAGACAGTTCCCAGGTAGGGGGCAGCTGCCCCCAGGCATTTTAACCAGGAGTTTATTGAAGGTGGCTGAGCTTCCTTTGCTGCCTGTCTTAGACCTGCAGCAATAAATTAGGAAAAGCAGCTGTTAGAGCTATAAAATCCAGTAGATGAAGGTCTGAGCACGAAGTGAGAGACACTGAGGAGTATCTGCAGTCAGATCAAAACAAGAATTGACCATTTTTAATTTGCATTAAGATGGAACCAGGAAGATTGAGGGATGTAGAGATTAGAGAAAGGTGAGGTACTGGAGAAAGAACTAGAAGTGGACTGGGACATTTCCTAAGTGGCACCACACTGGAGAACTGATTGGCTCTGCAGTGAAGCTAACCTAGGTTAAGACCACTACTCTGACAGCTTGTGTGTATGTGGGAGTGCGTTTGCTATGTGTGGTGTATATATGTGTGTGTCAGTTCACGTGTCAATCATGCACCAGGTCTGATTGGTTGGAAGTAGCTGCCTGAAGCTGTGGGTTGATACGGAATCAAAATCTGAGTCTAGACTCAAAGAATGGTATTGTGATTTTCCTTGGATAATAACAGAGGGAAGGAAGCTCACCTTAGATATGCAGAAGAAGATGAGCATTCCCGGGGACAAAACCAGTTTTAACCGGTAGTTAAATCGCAGATGGTTCTTTGCTAATATGAATAGTCATTCTAAGTGACCAATATTCATGGTCATTGTTAGAATAATTTTGTTCTCATTATAAAGCTCTATGTCCAGGGAATTCTTTAAAGTGTTCTTCAAGCTTGTTATCTGAGACAGATAGATCCTTGGAAATAATTAAAGTTAAAGTACCAGGACCGAGAAAGTGTGTAGATGCTCAGCACACTTGGGATCATCTTATACCACATGCCAAACAAATCCAGTTCCTGAGTGTGTGAAAAGTTGGAAAAGAAAATCCCTGCATGGCTCACACTAACTGCCACAGAGATCAAGAGGATACTGTTACCAAGCCCCATCAAATGCAGTCTGAAATCCTAACAAGAGAAACTGAATAAACACCTTCCTGGAAAGCTAACTTCCAGTGACCATCTCTTTTAGATTCTCAACTTGCTTTAAAAACGAAGGAATGTTTGGTTGCACTTCTTTTGAGCAGACAAATGGGTCCTTAAGTTAAAGATTAAGAAGGAGAAGTCATACATGCTCAGATGGCCAGACAGGTTGCAGACTGTGTGTAAGCAGGACATCCCCAACCAAAGGGAAGCAACCAGGCAACCAGAGTTTGGGATCTCTTAGAACTGACTGCTTTGCTTTGGGGTTGTACTTTCCTTGCTGGTGGCCAGTTTGATATTTAATCAAATTTCAGAACTTCATTTTTGCCTAAGTAGAATAGCATAAAGTTTAACATTATGTTTCAGGGCATTCATTCTGTTTCAATGATACTGAGTAACATTAAACACAATTCTGGCACAATGGCTCAGACCAGTCCTTCTAACTACTCAGGAGGATCACCTGAGTGCAGGACCAGCCTAGGCAACATAAAACAGAAACAAAACAAAACAAACTAAAAAAGAAAAGAAACACAAGAATTAATACAAATAGCTAAAATTTAGATATCAACCATTTGTCAGACATCAGGCTTAGTGCATTTCTGTGTTCTCACAGTTAGTCTTTGCAACATAATAATATTAAATACATATAGAGCTCCTTACATGCCAGGCACTATTCCTGGCACCTCACAAAATCAACCTGTTTAGTGCCAATGACAGCCCATTAAGGTAGCTATTAAGATTTCATAATGGGAGGCCGGGGTTGTAGCTCAGTAGCAGAGCACTTGCCTAGCATGTGTGAGGCACTGGGTTCAAGCCTTAGCATCAAATAAATAAATAAACAAGCAAAGGTTAAAAGGTTAAAAAGATTTCCTAATGAAGAAACAGAATCACAGCAGAACTTAACCAAGGCCATGCACAGCCAGGATCCTGTGACGTGGGCCTCCCCCTGCCAGTACTGCCAGGTGCAGAGCCGGAAACAGGAATGCAGAAAGGTGAAGTCATTTGCCCAAAGTCACAGAGATAGACCCAAATCAGAGTTTCCAATTTCCAAGACTGAGTTCCAAACTATTCTCCTGCATAGACAAAAGTTGGGCTGTTCAAAGGTCGGTCTTTCTTTCGTTCTTGCTTGCTTTCTTTCTTTTCACCATGTGGGACTGCACTACATTGCCTTAAGAATTTGAAGAACTCTGGTTATTGCATAACTGGCACATTCAGTTTTCAGACAATGCAATAGGCCTACCTAGAAATAGATACCTGAATTCTCAGATTCTGGTTCCAAAATCATTTGCATTCCCTTCCATTCCCAGAAGAGACTGTGGGCACATGCCTGTGTCCACATCACCTAAAGGAAATCAGACAAGGTTTCTAAGACTCATCTGAGTGCATACCCTGAATTACTGACACACAGGCATGTGCAATTCAGTGGCTTCCAAAGATCTGAGACTCCTGTTTGGGCTCTGTGGATCATGTCCAACACGTTTTTCTTCCTTGACACCGCCCACTCACAGAACAGTGCTGGGATGGGGAAAGAGTGTGCGAATGCCTCCGCATCCATGTGACTCAGAATGCATCCCCAAACCAAGTCCAAATGCTTTGGGATTATCCATTGCTTCATTTTCTTCACACCTCCCCTCTCTTGTATTAAAAGGGCTAAGGGGGCGTTGCGGTAACAAGAACATTTATTCAAACAATTTATGTTTCTGAAAAACTAGAATCCCATTATTTTTTCCATAAGAGATCAAGTACCTGAAACAGCCTATGGAAGCAAACCCAGAAAGAACTGAAGTCACGAAACAATACGCTAGGAAGAGCATAAATCTAAGGGCAGTACCTTGATATGAAAGCCGCTCTCTCGTCTGGATTTGTTGATGAAATTATAGTCTTGTATTCCCCAACCAACTCCACCGACATACTCATGTTTATATTTTGCTGGCCAGCTTCTGTTTGAGGCAGGCCGCCATAAATATTTAAGATCTCCAGTTTTTTCTAACACTGGACGCTTTTCTCCTATATAGGAAGTGTGCTGATGAACTTCAGGTAAATGATCCTTTACATAATGTGGACCTTAAAGAGACAGGAAAAAAAAGAAAAAAAAAAACTTTAACAACATTCCTCCCACTTTATGCTAAGATGCTTTTATTTTAATGGTGGAAATAATAATAGCCACTGCTTACCATGTTTGTAAGTGCTATTATAAGCCTTTTAGATGTGTTAATTCAATTAATCCTTATTAATAACCAAATGGGAGAGGTAGAATTATTTTCCTCAGATGGGAAAGTAAGGCACATAAAGACTGGTAGCTTGTCATAGCTAACAAGCTCTTCATGCCCAGAGAGGCTGCTGTGAAAGTTGGGCTCTTGATAACCCCACTAACTGCTCTGTTTAATATAGACATATTTGATATACAAAAATTCCTCACACATGCCACATATTCAGAGTGTAGGTCTTCATATGTTGGGGTGTTTTTCTGGATAAAATCTGAAATGAGAGGATATTCCCCAAATGTATTAAAAGCAATTGGAAATTGAGAAAATTACTAGATGATGATGAGCAAAGTCAGGGGTGTTTAATAAATATTGGTATTTAAAATGTCAGACAAGGAACAAAAATGAATGATGAAAGTGAAAGTGAATGAAACAGGGAAAATCAGACGTCTGGGAAAACATCACTTAAAGGTGGTTCTTGGAGTCAGATGATTTAAAAGTGATGAAGGGGAGCTTAGTCCTTTTGGAAGGATGGTACTGATGACAAAGAGACAACGGAGTCACTTGTCCAGGAACAATTTTGAAAATTCCAGAACCCAAATGGATGGTATAGGTAGGGCTGGAGTGGTGGCTCAGAGGTAGAGGGCTCACCTAGCACGTGTGGGGCACAGGGTTCCATCCGCAGCACCACATAAAAATAAAGATATTGTATCCACCTACAATTTAAAAATAAATGTAATTTTTAAAAAGATTGTAGAGGTAAATCAGGGATACAAAGAAGGAATTTCTGCTTTCAGTCTAAAAGTTCACCAAAGACCTTGGAGGAGAATACTGCATGGAGGTCACTGCCCAGGCTCCTCGAGGCCACACGGCTCCTTTCATTCTACTCTCAGATCAGGGAGCTGGGCATCTGCAGGGAGCACAAGATGAGCAGGGGATTGGATTCACTGCCCCTGCCACGTGGCCCAGGTGTCCCTGTGGGATGGTCAATGTGCTATTGAGTCTGTGATTAGAAGAGACATCTCTGCTTTCCAGGCAGGTTGCAAACGTGAGAATTGTTCAGACACATGATTTGGGCAGGTGTTTTCACAGCTTCCTAATCACCATCGCTCCCCGGGATGCACTGAGTATTCACCAAGTAGCTAATTTCCCCTGATGAACACTTTGTAGCTTCAGTTTTATTTGCTTCAGGTTTTCACTTAGATCTAATGGCTCGGGTGCAGAATTGTCAGAGTACAAAAAAACTGTTCTCTTCATCTGTATGACTCCCGTCAAAAATAGAGACATGAATGCAATCTCTTCTAAACAGGGTGAAATATGGAAGAACTGTGTTAGTGTTGCTGGAATTCAGGTCAGAGCATTCCCACCTGTTTCCTCAAATACTGATCCCATGAATGTACCATGTAGGTATATGGGAAGGGAAGAGGCTCCATAGTCAAGTACATTTGGGAACACTGCCTTTTGGATACTCCCGGCCTGCAAAAGCATATTCAGAGTTCTGAGAGTCCTGTGGTTAAGCAAACCTGTTTATAATTATGTAATCTAGAGTCTCCGAATTTGATTTAAACATTGATTTTTTTTTCTCCATCAGATTACTTATATGCATTCTACAGACACGGAAAGATCTGGGGCAATAATGACCTTCTATATAATATTTTGGTTGTTAAAATTTTGTCACCACACACTATTATAAAAGTGAGGGCAGGGCTGGGGTTGTGGCTCAGTGGTAGAGAATTTATTTGCCTAGCACACATGAGGCACTGGGTTTGATCCCAAGCAGCACATTAAAAAAAAAAAAAAGAAAACCCTGAATAAACAAAATAAAGGTATTATGTCCATTTACAATTAAATTTTAAAAAAGTGACGGTAATACCAGTGGCTCAGGAGGCTGAGGCAGGAGGATCACCTCAGCAATGGCAAGGCACTAAACAACTCAGTGAGACCCTGTCTCTAAATAAAACACAAAACAGGGCTGGGGATGTGGCTCAGTGGTTGAGTGCCCCTGGGTTCAATCCCTGGTGCCTCAAAAGAAAAAATAAGTGAGGATAAGTGTGTATCTGTCATTAATTCCTCATTCTGTGGACTGCCATAATTTTTTTTTTTTAATTTTAATATTTATTTTTTAGTTATCGGCGGATACAACATCTTCGTTTTGTATGTGGTGCTGAGGATCGAACCCGGGCCGCACGCATGCCAGGCGAGCGCGCTACCGCTTGAGCCACATCCCCAGCCCCATAAATTTTTTTTTAAGTCGTTATTTGCCATCTGTTTTGATTCATTTGTGCTGCTATAACAAAATGTTTGAGATTGGGTAACTTATTAAGAACAGGAATTTATTTTTGCTCACAGTTCTGGAAGCTATTGAGTCCAAGTCAATGCAGAGCAGGTTTGGTCTCTGGTGGGGGCCACTTTCTGATTACAAGATGGCACCTGGTTGCTGCGTCCTCACCTAGCAAGAGGCAGGAGGGCAAACAAGCTGCACACTTGTAGGTGATGCCTCTTTCACAAGGGTCTTAATCCCATTCATGAAGGAGGACCCCTCATGACCTAATGGCTCACCTCTTAATACTATCACATTGGCCATTATGTTTGAATACCTGAATTTGTACTGAATACCTGAATTTGTAAGGGACACATTTCAACCATAGTACCAGAAACCCAAAGTACTTTGGAAAGTGCTCATGTTATGAAATGTGTGTGTTTGTGTGTGTGTGTCTAGGCAGGGTGCTTCATGGCTGACTTAGTGAAGTCATTAAACTTCACAAAGCCTCTGCCTCCTCAGGTATGCTTTAGAGATGTACAATGCAATGTGCACAGCACAGTGCTAGTTACAGTCTTCCTGGCTCACAGTCTTCCTGGGAAGACCCTGCTCTGGCCTTGTAAGCTATGTAACTGACTCAGGTGCCTGCCCATGAAGCAGAGATATGAGTAGGCTATGGTAGGAGGTAGATCCCCACAATCACAGCAGGTCTCCTGCAGCCACATCTGGGTTTCCCTAACCAAAACATCCCTTTATCACTACCTATAGCAACACCCAAAAACACAGTGTATGGTTCTCCAAAAGTCCTTATGTTAAAGGTTTTGTCCCCAGGTGGCGCTATTGGGAAGTAATGTGGACCTTTTGGAGGTGGGACCGAGTGAGAAGACCTTATCTAGAGGTCTTGAAGTTGTACCTTCAAAGGGAATTTGGAGACTCTGGTTCCTTAGTCTCTCTTTGCTTCCTGACTCATGGCATGAGGAGTTTTCTCTGACATGTGCTCCCAGCCATTACCATCCATCCCTCTTCAAGGGCCCAAATCAATCAGGCCACCTGGTATTGGACTGGAACTTTCAGAACTGTGTGTTAAATAAACCTTTTCTATTTTTAACTTATTTGCCTCCAGTATTTTGTTACAGTAATATAAAGCTTACTGGTGCACATGGTTTCTAAAATAAGACAGTTCTGAAGGCATTTGGCTTTAAGTAACCCACGTTTTTATTTCTAAACCTCATTCTTCAGAGCCTAGACTTTGCTGGATTGGATTCCCTGATTAAAAGTAAATCTTCCAATTCATGCCAACTTTTGGTCTCTTTATAACAAGTATCATCTTTGTTTAATTGACTATTGTTGCTATATCCCTCAGAATGTTTCTAGTGTTTCTTCATCCTGCAGCAAGTTTTCTTGGACATTTCATCCTCTTTTCACAAACTCAAGCCCTCATTTGCCAAGAGTGAAGTTGGCTGCTCCTAGGTTAATAAAAATTAATAAATAAATCCATCCCATTTTCTATCTTCTTTGAAGTTTTCCTTCATGTCTGGGCGCCAACTCTAGCAGGATGACTTTTAGCTATAATATTCAAAAGGAGCTGTTGTTATCTAATGTTGGTCATAATCCCTAACTCTTGCTCTGGTGTAGTAGCTACATTGTCATGGGGAAGGAAATGTACCATGAAAATCTGTATCATGAATTATGATTCCACATTTCTCTATTTTTGTGCCCTGGAAAAACTATGATTTCAAGGACAGTAGGCAGATCTAACTTCTACTCTCATCTCTCTGTGTCCTCAACTTTACTTGCTCACTTATCTCTGAAATGCCATCTACAGTTAGAAATGTGGCTGTGGGGTTTTCGTTTTTTGCTGTTTGTTTGTCGTGTGTGTGTGTGTGTGTGTGTGTGTGCGCGCACTGTGATGAAACCCAGGGCCTCCTGCACGTTAAGCATGTACTCTACCAATGAGCTACAACCCCAGGCATGAACGTGGTTTCAAACCCAACTAGTATAGGTAGAAACTTTTGCATTATCTTATGCTGGTTTTGTGATCTGGGGAAATTTATCCAACTTCTGTGTTTCCACCTCCAAATCTGCTAAATGGAAATAGTGTTGCCTATGTTATAGCCTTATAGGAAGGAGAGAAGAGAATGCATTTTATATTCAGCTGAGAACCTCGCATATAATCCATACCTAATGGTATTATATGGGTTCATTTTGTTGTTGTTGTTGTTGTTTAACTTGAGACTTTGTCTTACCTCTTGTTTCTTTGTTTACATCTTGGGAGCTTTCACTAATTAATGATTTATTTCTTATTGTGAATGGAATTCAAATCCTTTCTTCAGAGTTCTTTAAGATCCAGGGTCAGCAAACTGATTCTTCTTTTACTCTTCTACCCAACCATTAAAAAACCCAAAACCATTCTTTGCTCATAAGCCCGACAGAAAAAGGTTGCAGAATGAATTGGATCCAGGAGCTCTAGTTTGCCAATCTTACAGATTGATGGTAGGATCACTGAGGAAGTGGATGCCAGAGGCAGGAAAGAGCACAGGTAAGAGGATCTGGGAGGGTTTTCAATGAACTTCATCTCCTTCCAACATTTGAAAAAAGGC